TATATATATGTGTTGTGTGTGTGTGTGTGTGTGTGTGTAATTCTCACATATGTATATAATTCTCTCAGGGGAATTCTGATATTAAAAAGTTGTCTACAAAAAAACAAGGATGAAGCTGAATAAAATGTATGAAACGACACTTTGCATAATCTAAACAACAGCATTATGGGACTATGAGCACAGACACCGGAGAAAGAAGGTGAGAGGTGAGCCTTACAACTGAGCAGCTAACAGCCTGGAAGCCATACTCAGGCAGCAGCACAAGCAGGAGTAGAAACAGAGCCCAGTGGTCTGACGAGAGGAGACAGATGCCAGGCTCTGGGAGGCCAAGGCAGCCAGAACTTATGAGGCACACTACTGGATATGTAAACACACACACACACACACACACACACACACACACAGACAGGGGGCATGGGAGACAGGAAAGGGGAGGGTGCTCCTGAGATATGCAAAGGGATCCCTTCAAGTCTCTGACAGAGCATCGATCTAGAAGTGCATGAGGTTGGGAGGCTGGAGAAAGTAGCATCAGAAAGTGGGACAAAAGGAGGTCACACAGGGCTAGAGATAGTCTGTATACCCAACAGCCAAGTAAAGAGCCCTTGAAATACACGGGGTACTGGGTGGATTCCTCAGAAAGGCTGGGACTTAATAGTGTGACTTTAATTAGCCTCAGATTAAAGGCTGCTATAGACCTGTCATAAGCAAGCTTAAAAGCAAGCTCCAAACCAATATGCACGTGACTCATCTTTGTGTCAGAACAAAACCCACCACTCAGGCCAATACAACAAAATCCAGCCCTCCACAAGATTAAACAAAGCAAAACAAAACCTCACAATATCTAGCATCTCGCCAAAAATTACCAGGCTTGTGGGGGGACTGGGTGGCTCAGTCGGTTAAGCATCCGACTTCAGCTCACGTCACGATCTCATGGGTTCGAGAGTTTGAGCCCTACATCGGGCTCAGTGCTGACAGCTCAGAGCCTGAAGCCTGCTTTGAAATCTGCATGTCCCTCGCTCTCTCTGCTCCTCTTCTGCTTGTGTGCTCTCTCTCAAAATTAAATAAATATTAAAAATAATAAAAATTACCAGGCTTGCAAAGAAGCAGAAAAGTAGGACCCATAGAAAGAGGGAAGGGAAAAAAAGCAAATGGTAAAATGATACAGAAATGACAGAGGTAGTGAAATTAATAAGCAAAGGTCTTACAACAGCTATTATAAATATTATACATATGTAAAGATGCCAAGGAAAGCATGAACATAATGAAGTAAGGGAAAATACAAGACCCAAATGGAACTTCTAGAAGTAAAACTACAATATCCAAAATGAAAACTGACTAAAATTAACAACAGAGTAGCCACTGCACAACAGAGTAGTGAATCTGAAGATACAGTAACTGGAAACTTTTTTTTTATATTGTTGGTGTTTCCAAGTATATGTGTTTGTGACAGTTAAAGTGTGATACAGGTGAATTCAACGCATCAAGAGTTCTACGGAAGCTGTTCTGCAAAATATTACATACTATACAAACTATTCAAGTCAGACAACACCATTTTTTCAGTGTCTTTTCAACTGAGAAGAACCCTATTCAGCACACTTCTGAGGTGGTGCATACAGAGCAAGCTTTGTTTTTGTTCTTTATTTTCTTCTACAATAGCTTCATATTTCTCTTTCATTTCTGTTGATTCTAGGTGAGGCAGCTCTATTTCTGGATTTTCTAGGGGCAGCAGCTCCTAAGTGATGCTTTAAAAACGCACAGCATGGGGCGCCTGGGTGGCTTGATCGGTTAAGCATCCGACTTCGGCTCAGGTCATGATCTCACGGTCCGTGAGTTCGAGCCCCGCATCGGGCTCTGTGCTGACCGCTCAGAGCCTGGAGCCTGTTTCAGATTCTGTGTCTCCCTCGCTCTCTGCCCCTCCCCTGTTCATGCTCTGTCTCTGTCTCAAAAATAAATAAACGTTAAAAAAAATGTATTAAAAACGCACAGCACTATTAGGTTTCTCCGGTTCTTCATAGAAGGCTGTCAATACCCTGGTCAGTGTGTCCATACCCCCGACTTCTCCAGGCACCTTTAGGACTGCTCGTGCTTTGAGACGGTGCCTTTGTTAAGGCGCCACAGGGACAGTGGCAGCAGGGTGGCCGGTGGGCTCTAGGAACTGGAATTTTTATGTGTGAATTATTTTTTTTTATTACGTACGGTGAATTATTAAATTGCTTCAATATCCAACCATTCACTAAATAATCTTTTTTTTTTCCTTTGCTGACACAGGATACAATCGTTATCAAATATGAAGTTGTCTGATTCTGGCTTTTTTTTTTTTTTTTTTTAATTTTCTTAATGTTTGTTTACCTTTGAGAGAGAGACAGACACAGAACTGGAAGCAGGCTCCAGGCTCTGAGCTATCAGCACAGAGCCCAATGCGGGGCTTGAACCCACGGACAGCGAGATCATGACCTGAGCCGAAGTCAGACATTCAACCAACTGAGCCACCCAGGTGCCCCTGATTCTGCGCCTTCTAATGTAGCCATCACTCCGTCTCATAATGAGTCACAGTGCTTCGGTTATTAGAGTTTACAACACATTTTAACATTTGATAGGCAAGGCTTCTCTCATCACTCTTCTTTTTTTCAAAATTTCTTTTCCATTCTTGCAGGTCCACTCAAGATGATCCCTGGGACTTCACTCACTACATTTCAAGATGTTACTGAAAAAACATAATTTGGAAAAATGAAGCAGCTTTATAATACTCATTTTTTTTTTTTCTTCCAGGGTTCTATTTCTCTTGATTTAGCTCAGTGATTTTCTGAGACTCTCAGTAAAGTTCTGTGATTTTTTTTATACAGGTCCCTCTTTTTTCCTTCAGTTTCCAGAATAAATAATTATATATTTCCAATAACATTTTTACTTGTCTTTCTAACAGTGATATATTTTGTTTGCTTCAATCCTTCCTGTATTTGATTTTCTATTTATCACTAATTCAACCCCACACTCTCCCCAACTTACCTATTCTTTCAGTATATGCAAACATGATAGGTGTCTTATCAAATTCTTTGTGCTACTCTGAGGTGAACTGAATGTTCTTCTGAGGATTCCACGCTCTGTCTTCTATAACACTGGGCCTTCTGTCTCCTAGATTCATACAATCGTTCTTCTTGGGGTCTCTAATCAGACCAGTGCGATAGAGGCTTTGTCATTATGTCAGAGGTGTTGGTAGAGGTTAGTGAAGAAGTTCGACCATGTTTGAACTCCTCCAAATATAGGAGAATAAGACCAAGCAATCCAATCCAACAGAAAAATAAGCAAAGGGCAAGTAGTTCACAAAAAAGACGCTATCTCAAAGGTCCATAAACATGCAAAATGGTGCTTAGTTTTTTAAAAAAGTTCATTCTGAGAGAGAGAGAGAGAGAGGGAGAGAGAGAGAGAGACAGACAGACAGACAGAGAGACAACGCATGTGCAAAAGTGAGGGAGGGACAGCAGGAGAGGGAGAGAGAGAGAACCCCAAGCAGGCTCTGCGCTGAGCACACAGCTTGATCTTGACCATGAGATCATGACCTGAGCCACTATCAAGAGTTGGACGCTTAACCGACTGAGACACCCAGGTGACCCTGGCGCTCAATTTGATTAAAAATTTAGCAAAAGACAAAATAAAACCACAAAACACACCATTCAGCTCTGATTAACAAAAAGTACAAGTCTGGCAATATCAAGTACTGGCAAGGATATGAAGCAAAATGAACTCACATACACTGTTGGTGGGAATATAAACAGGCATGATGACTTCAGAAAGCAAATTAGCATTATTTAGCCAAAGTGAAGATTGGGGGAACTTAAGATCCAGCATGGCCACTTCTGGATATATTCTCTAGGGAAAGCTTGCTTATGTGCTCCAGCTGACATAAATAGAAGAATCTCCATGACAGCTTTGTTCGTAAAAACACTGGAACAGGATTCCAAAACAGGGGAATGGGCAGATAAATTATGACTTAGTCAAAGAGTGGGTAGTGTATAACTACACAAATAAACTACAGCTATGAGCAGCATAAGTGAATGAGGAGAAAAGAAGTACATAGTGCATGAATCCATTTGCGTAAGTTCAAAAATGGAGAAAACTAAAGTATATTAATTATACAGGTAAGAATCTATGTGACAAACTAAACAGGGAATAATAAGTTCCAAATTCATGGTACTGATTACTTTGGTGGCAGGTGGAAAACCAGAGATACAATCAGAATGAGTCATACAAGAGGGTGTCAACGATGTTGGGAGTTTAACTATTGAGTTGAGTGGGGGGGATTCAGGTGTTCTTTTTATTAAGCCATACAAATCCATCACATACTCTTCTGTATTTGTAAGTCATAATAAAAAATTAAAAAAAAAAACAAAACACTTATAGTCTGCAGATCCCCTCATTAAACCTCTGCAGCACAAAACCTGCCCTTGCTTATTACCCCGTAGGATTATTTTCTAGAGAGTGACCTGGGAACACTCCCGCCATGGGAATGCAGGCATAGCAGGCCCAGCAGAAGTAGGGGATTAAGTGAAAGTCTATGTACTGCATAATCAGACACCAACCTCCTTCCCTTTCTCCAAACCGACAGATTACCGCATTCCTCACCATCTCATGAAGTTCAATGTATCAACTTTAACCGATCACAGGCCAATCCCTATGTATTATTGTATCAGCAGCAGCCCACAGATCACGTCTCTCACTGTTCTATGGCCCTACTAGGTCCCTGTAGGTACGACACGGCCTTCCTGGCTGGCAGCACAGCACCCGTGTTCTCCACGGAGAGCTCACAGCAGTCACACCTGTCATCATCATGACATGCTTAACTGTTGGTTGAGCTGGTGTTGGTGTGTATGTGTAATGGAGCATTAACTTAGAAAACACAGTCTGTCACAAAAATGCAGTATTACTTTGTTTCAGAATTCGAAGAGCCAAAAAAAAACCCAAAACCAAAAACAAAAACAAAAACCAAAAACACGGTCAGAACTTACCTCTGCCACTTCCTTTTGGAAAGTCAATGTCATCTGGGTTCTGCCATAAACAAAAGGTCCATCCTTACAAGAAACATTTTCAAGCCACTTGATAATCAGTGGAGTTGATACGCTAAAAGGCAGATTTCCAATAATATGTACATTTGGAGGATCTGGTTAGCAGGAGGAAAAAACAACTTGTAACGATTTCATCAAAGTATTCTGAATAGTATTTTGGTTAAGAATAAAAGTCAAACTGGGTACTAACAGCGTCAAACAAAAATACATGAAACAACACGGCTACCTAATTTTCAGTCCATTTATTCTTCAAAAGCAATGTTTCCTCATCGTCAGCTTTGAATTATTAAGAAAAACATTCTACCTTAATTAGTGTTCAAAGTCCTCAGGTTTCCCGGCTTAGGAAAACTATGAAAGAGACCGGATTTGAGGGAAAAGGTAATTTGATCCGGACGTGGGGAGGTCAAAGTGCCTATGGGGCACCCAGGTGAAGCTGTCAGAGAATCAGATGCCCAGGAAGGGGGTACAGGCTGCATAGACAGATAGAAGTGTCTGCAGCACACAGGTGGTAAGTGTAACCACAGGAGCAAGGGAATTCCTGCAAATCTGGAGCACAAGAGCAGGTGCTCAAGAAGAAAGATCTCAGGAACAACATCTAAGAGGTAGCTGGAAAAAGAACCACCAGCAAGGAACAGCTAGAGAAAGTCATACAATGTAAAAGGGAAAACGGGAGGACCTGGTGTCAGGGAAGACACGAGCAGAGAAAACATCCGGAAGAGCAGGTAACACTCAAATGAATGCCTGAGAACTCCGTCAGGTAAGGTTTGAGAGAGGAAATCAGGAGGTCACCCTGGCTCCGGTGTGACTGGGGCCGGACCGGAGACCTGAAGGCAGTGTGCTGAGAGGAGAGCCGGAAGGCGGAGGCAGGCAGTGGCCACCTCTCTGGTGCTGCGGCCACACACACGGAAGCGGTCACGCCAGTAGTACGTGTTCTCAAGGGCTTTCTAGGCAAGTAACACACCCCATCTATCTCCGGATTCCAAAGAGTTGGTACACAGCGGGGACCCGACTGTCTAAAAAATGAAGACCCTTGGCTGGCCACGGAATGCGAGACGCTGGTAACTGGGTGTGGCTTCGTTTACTAAAACACTTCTTTTTTTCACCATTTGGAAAAAGGAACACTTCCTAGTTTATCCCATCATTACATGGTGTCATAAAAATAGCTTATTTGAGGAGAACCCTAAACATTTGAAAAATAGAAGACAAATAAAATAGAAGAAAAAGTAATTAGATTTATCATTTTGGAAAAGAGTAGAAAAGCAGAAAAAATTATAATGCACACTACGTACTCAATTCTGTTTTTATAATATTCAATATAAATGTGTAATGTTTGTAATGTATAATAGCATTAAATATTTGTACTATAAATAATTATAAAAGAAAATAAGAAAACCAACCCCAAATCACTTACCATCTTCCCACTGTCTTTTAAGACTTTCTGGAAAAGCCCTTTCTATCTTATATGTCAACACATCACCATGGACAATTCTCAGTTTTCCAGGTGCTGCATCGGAAAGCATCTAGTTTACAAAAAGATCAATAAAATGAGTTCATACTTTGGAGAATAGTGAAACACACACTCTCTCTCTCATTCTCTTTCTCTCTCTCTACACACACACACACACACACACACACACACACACACACCCTGCACCCAACATAAAACTTGATTCTTCATGGTTTAAAAAACAACAACCACCACCCAGATGCAGTCCCCTGAAGCTTAGGAAGTTTAAGAGCAGGAGCGAGTACATGTATCACTAACATCCCTTCTAAAGGAGATTTATAAGGAAGAGGTGACCTTCTTTCCACATCAGGTATCACCTCAAGAGGCTCAGACACCCTCGGCTCCAAGTTAGGGAACTTTTGCCCTGAGCACCCCTTGGTGCTGCTGATTCTCTCTCCTAACCTTCTTCTTGCCTAATTCTGGCCACTGGTAGGAAAGATGAAAGAAACACCATAGAAGCCAGAGAAGAGACCCCGGACCAAGGCACCTACTTCGTAGATTACTCCTGCTTTTGGGTAAATGCCGTGCCTTGCACATGCTTCTTTACGGCATTATGACCTACTATCTCGTAATTGTGCATACAGAGGTTTCTCCTCCCTGTGATAACATATGCTCCTTAAGGGTAGCACCTGTTTCCCATCTATCTTAATGTCCCCTGCAGCTACAAAGTGCATAGTAGGTGCTTCAGATTTTTTGATAAGTGAATAAGCGAACGATCAACTATAAAACGGGAAAACTTCTCCTCCCAGCCTGAGATTTGAGATTCCCAAAATTTGTAAAGTCAAGAAACTTGCGAAAAATTATTTCACTGATAAATCGGGTAGAATTATACAAGTAACACTTCAAAAATACAGCGCTGAAATGCTTAAATTGGTAAGAAGCTAAACATCTCAGTTTGGGAATCATCTAGTCTGGTATATTTAGTCATGGTAGTTTAGCAAAAAAAAAATTGTGTATCTCCAATACTATTGTACTTATAGATTATTTTAAATTACCAAATTTGCTAAAACTTAATCTGATGAGTTCCAGACAATAAATCATGGAAAACATAGTAACTCCAACATACTATGAATAAAAAAGGAGGTAACTCTCTTTGGGACAGGCTCTTATTGCATAAAAACTATGCATTTAATGACCGCATTTACCATTAATGAAGAATATTAGTTGTTTTCTAGAATTCTGCTTCACATAATTAAAACAAAACAAATTTGCATACCAAAAACAAAGCAGAAGAACCAAGAGCTTATGCTTCATGATCGTATGTATAGAAAGTAATAAAGTAATTAGTAATTAAGACTAAAACAAAACAAAACCATGTAAACTTAGATCTTTGGCATTAATATACATGCTCTGATAACCACGTTTGAAATGTTAATTTTTTAACATTTAACTGATACACACTCAGCTACATACCAGAAAACTGGTGTAACACACGTTAACCTTCCTTTCCTAGGTTTAAAGTTGTACTGCTAGCCTATTTCTTTAGGATTGCCCTTCAGACTTAAGTCTCAGCCAATGACAAAGCAAATCCTCCCAAGACTACTCTGTAGCTTGATCTTCCCCTTTCAGACTCCCCACGGAGGAAGAAATGAATACTGGCGACCATAGCTTTCTGTGAAAGCCTTGAAGCAATTATGGGGGGGAAAAAACGCCATACAAACTGAAATGATAGTATGAATGATTACAGACAGTAGCCACTTAAACACCTAATGATATTCAGCAATGACACACATTTTCTTACCACCCACTAATAGAGAATGATGTTTTCATTACCATGACAGTATTTGGGGGATGGTGGGGAGGTGGGAAAGATCACTAGTACAGCCAGAAGAGCACCCCTGCTTTACACTTTAAAGCCCTGACGGTGTTAGCTCATAACGTGCTCAAAGCACAGCTGACTACAAATGCAGGCACCCGATTATAGTCAAATGAGTATTTTTACAGACACTCGTAAGTTGTTCCATCATTTTTATTTTAGTTTTTAATGCCATATCCTTCCAAAATGAGACTTAAGTCAGTTTAGAGTAAAAGGCATTCATTAGATAAGGCTGTAAAAGAAGAAACAGAAAACCAAACAATGAAAGAAGCAGGTATGTAAATCCTACAGGTGTTAGCTCTGACAATTTATACACTGAATTATAGAATTTTTACTCTCTACTGGAAATAATTATACTAAGTCTCCAGGAGAGAAAATGTTTGTTTTTTTTCTTCCTAGCATTAAGTTTTGTGAGGGGTATATGGAACAAAATAATACAGAATGCCTTTAACAAAAATGAGGAAACAAATGCAGGAGTATTCTTCATATGGTCACTTAAAAAATCTCTCGAAGTCAAGGTTTTAGAGATAGCTTTTCTGCAGGGGGCAAGCACCTAAGGTCCACCTAGGTAATTTGTTGGTGATCTCATTTGATGAGGAAATTTTTTTTTAAGTTTATTTATATTTACTTTGAGAGAGACAGAGAGAGAGAGAGCACACATTCAGGGGAGGGGCAGAGAGAGTGGGACAAAGGATCCAAAGTGGGCTCGGTCCCGACAGAAGAGACACTGATGCGGCGCTCGAACTCAAGAACCAGAAGATTATGACCTGAGCTGAAGTCGGACACTTAACCGACTGAGCCACCTAGATGCCCCTGATGAGGAAATAATTTTTGCGACTTTTGGAACTTATGCACAACTAGAAATTCCTTGAGAACAAAGAACTATATTGAATGGCCATTTGGTATGTTTTATGCCACCTCTCATGGTGGGTGAGGGACTCCTGGCAGCCAGCATTGTAGAGTGAGCTAAAGCATTAATTACACAGCCTGGTGATATTACCTTCTTCCTGACCTGTTACATAGTAGGAACCCAAACACTGTTGAAATAAGTGCTAGGCAAACTGTCAGGAAAACTATATGAGAATGAAGGAATCTATAATACAGAACACACAGAATTCTTCTGTAGAACACACAGAAAAGACTAATGCTATTATTCAAAAGGAATTTAAGATAATGTTACAATAGATATTTTTTTTTTTTAAGGAAGAAGATGACAGCATGACTTCAAAGAGTCTCCTCGTTTTATTTTTTAAACAGGACCAAAACATGCATGGCAGAAACTCATGTACTCAGTCTCATCAAGGATTTAGAGATTTAATAAACTTTATATTCAAACAGTGCTTACTCCTTTCAGCGTTAACATTTCTTAAAGAGAAACTTCTACAGTAGCCTATCTTTTTCTTGTCTGATTGCTATGGCTAAGATTTCCAGCATTATGTTGAATAAAAATGGGGACAATGGACATCCTTGTCTTGTTCCAGATCTCAGAGGAAAAGCTGTCAGTTTTTCACAATTTAGTACAGCATTGGCTATGGATTTTTCATAATATGGCCTTTATGATGTTGAGATATGTTCCCTCTAAATCTGTGTTGAGTTTTTATCATGAATGGATGTTGTACTTTGTCAAATGCTTTTTCTGCATCTATTGAAATGATCATATGGTTTTTATTCTTTCTATTAATGTGATGTATCACATTGATTAATTTATAAATATTGGACTACTCTTGCATTCCTAGAATAAATCCCACTTGATCATGGTGAATGAATTTCTGATGAATAATAATGAAGTAGCAGAAAGAAAAGTTAAGGAAACAATCCCATTTACAACTGTACCAAAAATAACAAAATTCCTAGGAATAAACTTAACCAAAGAAACAAAAGACCCATACTCCAAAAACTATGAAACCCCGATGAAAAACATTAAAGATGACACAAATGGAAAGATATTCCATACTCCTGCATTGGAAGAGACAACATGGTTAAAATGTTCACACTACTTAAAGCAACCTACAGATTCAACGCACCCCTATCAAAATACGAACATTTTCACAGAACTAGTACATATTACCCTAAAATTTGTATGGAACCAAAAAGACCCCAAATAGCCAAAGCAATCTTGAAAAAGAACAAACCTGGAGGTATCACAACCACAGATATCAAGATATACTGAAAAGCTACAGTAACCAAAACAGTACAGTACTGGCAAAAAAACAAAAAAACAAAAAAACAAAAAAACAAGACACATGGATCAATGGGGCAGAACTGAGAGCCCAGAAATGAAACCAAGTTTGAAAGGTCAATTAACCTTTGACAAAGGGGCAGGGATACAGTGGGAAAAAAACATGGTCTCCTCAACAAATGTGCTGGGAAAACTGGACAGCTACGTGCAAAAGAATAAAACTTGACCACTTTCTTACACCATACACAAAAATAAAATGGATTAAAGACCTAAATGTGAGACCTGAAATCACAAAACTACTAGAAGAAAACACAGGCAGTAATTCTTTTGACATTGGCCATTAAAAAAAAAAAAAAAATTTCCAGATACATCTCCTCAGGCAAGGGAAGCCAAAGCAAAATTAAACTACTGGGACTAACCAAAATAAAAAGTTTTCTCACAGTGAAAGAAACCATCAACAAAACACAAAGGCAACCTACTGAATGGGAGAAGATATTTGCAAATGATAGATCTGATATGGGGTTAATATCCAAAATATATAAAGAACTTCTACAACTCAACACACAAAAAACAAATAATTCTATTGAAAAATGGAAAAAGGTCTTTTTCCAAAGACAAGATACAGATGGCCAACAGACACATAAAAAGATGCTCAACATCACTAATCAGAGAAATGCAAATCAAAACCACAATGAGATATCACTTTATACCCATCAGAATGGCTAAAATAAAAACCATAAGAAATAACAAATGATGGCGTGGTGGAGAAAAAGGGAATCCTTGTGCACTGTTGGTGGGAATGCAAATTGGCACGGCCACTGTGGAAAACAGTATGGAGGTTTCTCAAAAACTTAAGAATACAATTTCTATATGACCCAGTAATTCCACTACTGGGTATTCACCCCCCAAAAACTAAAACAGTATTTTGAAAAGACATATGTGCCCCTATGTTTTCTGCAGCATTATTTACGATAGCCAAGATATGAAAGCAACCCGTGTCCATGGACAGATGAATGGA